GAGCCCAGTTTGGCCCACTGGATCAAGCCCATTTCGAGCCCAGACGAATACCAGATCGCAAACAACTCTGGCCCATTTCGGCCAACTCGGCCCGAAATCATATGCCATCCCTATCCACACCCTGACTAGTCAGAACCGACCAAGCAAGGTGGAGCTCTCCAACACAGCCACTCAGCAACCGACTTTGCAGGTGGAGGGTTAAGATTCAGCCTTACGATTCGACCAATCAGAAGGAAGCACGCTAGTTTCAGCTACAGCAACGGCAAATGATCATGTGACACATGGCGGATACTTTTGCTATTAAATGAGCTCGTTGGGCTCTCTGTTGAGGGGGGACGAAGGAGAAAAAGAGAGTGATACAGAAAATTCTGAAAACACTAATCTTTTCATTACAACAACAAACGGAGCCCAGATCTGAAGGGTGGAGCACAAGGAAGTGTTCTTGGAGCAGAAATCACAATAAGGTTGGAACTTTTGACTCTGCTTTAATGTTGATAGATAGCATTTCATCTCGTTTCATCCAGTCTTGATCATTATACAGTTATAATATCCATCAACTTGTATTGAAGCAATTTAATTTACAAACCCTTCTGCATTGAAGCACTCTTTACGTTCAAAAACTGTATTTACTTGTCTTAAGCATTCATAGCAATAGCAATTCCAATTCGGCATTAAGCTTCTTTCAATTGAGCATTTATTTACTTCTCTTATAAATTCATAGACTATTTTAAAGTTATGTTATGCTTTCCATTTCCTTGCAAGCAAATAGCTAGCCAATAGTCGATTATCATATGCATGACAAAATATGGGAATAGAGTTCAAATAGACAGAGGTCTTTAGAAACAAGCAAAAACCACTTATTAGAAGTCCACGGGGGCAATCCAGATCTAGACACAACAAAAACTCCCTAAATATGATAAAATTTCAGATTTCAAACCGTTGCAAAATCAAAAGCCGAGGCAGTGATTTGTAATTATAATTACCAAAAATACCAATTTTAGAGCATGTTAATTACTTTCCCATTACAGGAAATTATTTTCTTAGCAAATTCTAGCATGTCATGAGTTCCTTCTAAAACCACCCACCAAACCACCAAGCATAAAAAATTCGAGATCATCAAACACATAACATATATAAAATCACAGATCTATAAACCGATTTCAAACTCGCAATTTATCATTTTCTTTAGTTCAAGTTCCATAATCACTTTAACCCGAGTTCAGGACGTCCTTACCCAAATCTGTCCACTCCCAAAACCTACCAAAGAGCAGAAAAGTAGAAATCAGAACCTCAAATAAAAAAAAACAAAATAGCAAAAGGGATTAAACCACAAAAAAACCTACTTAGGTTTAACCCTCGCTGCCGGCTCTGGCGCAGGCCGCGCCGCCGGCCACCGCCGCCTCTCCCTTCCTTCTCTCGGCAGAGATCCGAAACATAGACAATAAAAAAAACACCAATGCTCAAACAGGTTAAATCTCTATCTAATGCATAAATCGAATCGAAAAGAACATGCATGTAGAAAAATCTTACCAGAGGGTAAGAGTCACCCCTCGTCGCCTTCGTTTTGGTGAGGAAGGTCGGGTTGAGATACTAGGCGAACAGGCGAGAGTCCCGCCTCGGTTCGAGTCGATTTCCGAAAAAAAAAGAAGAGGAAAACGAAAGAAAATTAGCCGAATCCCAATAAAAATCACCTAAAAACAAATCGAAAAGAACATGCATGTCTAGGATCTTACCTAGATCGAAACCTTGTAGGTTGATTTAGCTCGATACGAGCGGTCTCCTTGGCTAGCCGAGAGGAGAGGACGGCGGCGTAGAGGAGAGGGTTAGTGATTCGTTTTTCTGGAAATAGAAGAGGAAGTGTATTGTTTTTTTCTTTCTTCTCGTCTCAGAGGAGGCGGAGAGAAGAGGAGAGAAGGATCGGGATAAAAGCGAGAGTGAGAGGAGAGAGGGGAGAAGAGAGATGGCGGCGATTGTGGGATGAGAAACCAGAGGGTTTCTGGGTTGGGGAAGCAAAAACGAGTGAGAGAGGCAAGAGAGTAGGCTAGCGGCGGTCAAACTAGAGAAGATTAGGGTTTCCTTTCTCGTTTAAGACATTTATATATGTTTCCAAATGTCCAAATTGCCCCTAGGGTTTCGCTGATATTACACGCCCATGCCACCGCGTTTTTGTCCATTTACCAAAATACCCTTCCCCTATCCCTGCAATATGAAAAACAGAACACCGAACTCAGAGTCGACCGAGATTCGAACTCGGGTCTCACGGCATATCCGCATATGTGTCCGACGCCTTAACCGGTTGGGCTGCTGGGCCCTTATGCGAAAGTGTAATCATCTCATTCATATTTATTCGTTCTAAAATTCTTAATACGAAATGTTGAATGCGGATTAAGTTTATCTCGTTTCTTTTCCCCTTAGCGTCTTAATACTTCCTAGTAACTTAAATTCTTATATTCTCTTTTCATAATAATTAGTTTAAATTTTATTAACGAAAATTATAATACGAGAATTACGTTCAGTGGAACGTGGTATAAATTATATTCAAAATTATCAAAGTCATACAAACGAACTACGTGGACTTTGATCCCGTATTACGGGTACGTAGGCAACCGATAAGGTTCGAGTCCAACTAACCAACTAACTTCATATTTAAATTTACGTCAGTGGACGTATAATTAAATTTCAACTAATACGATAAAATCATTAAATGGTCCAGTGGGACCTAAAATTACAAAATATTACTAAAAACACACCCAACTCATATAAACTTATCAAACTTAAGTAGTACCGATTTAGGGCGTTGTGGGGGTGTTGCCTAACTTCCCCACACGTAACCGTACTCCCGAACCCAGAACTTTATTTTCATAGACCAAGTCTCGGTTCTGATCCTAAGGTTAGAGCCGACTGATGAGTGTTCGATCCACTCCAAGTAAGATCGATGGCGACTCCCAAAAATGCCGACGCGACGACATACGGACCCCCCGAGGGGACGGTTGCGACAATTCTCAGAGACCACATCATGCAGACTGCTGATTTGCAGGAGGACTCTTCCGTGGCAGAGTTGACTGACGATAATGAAGAGTGGAACTGGCAGAAGCTCCATGAAAGGCTTCCCCCCAATATCATCTCTCTGATCGCTGGCATGGAATCCCCAAAAAATAGCTTGGGTGAAGATAAGAGTATATGGGGACTGAAAAGGGATGGAAGATTCAGGCTGAAGTCAGCTTATAACCTCCCAGCTGATCAAGTGGACACAGAGGGAGAAACGATGTGGAAGAAACTTTGGAAGTGGAAAGGGCCAAGTCGTACTAAACACTTTCCCTGGCTTGTTATGCATGACAGATTGCTCACTAATAAGGAACGAGTCAAGAGGAAGATGACTACTGATGGCAACTGCAGCCACTGTAAAGACGTGGAAGAAATAATAGAACACATCCTGAGGAAATGCAACAAAACAACAGCTATCTGGGAGAAGTTCAGGTCCAAAGTCACTTGTAAAGACATGGACTTGCCATTTAAGGAGTGGCTGTCAATCCATTTGAGTTATGAGACTCATGGTGTTGACTTTGGCCTTAATGTGTGGCATCTGTGGAAACAAAGAAATGAAGAGAGTATGGATGGGAAGGTGTATGTGGAAAAATCTCTCATCTGCAGAATTGAGGCCTGGTTCAAGTTCTACAAAATGGCACTGCAGAATGTGGAGAGAAGTTTCAGACCCCTTGTTGAGACAAGAGAAGAACAGATTAGCTGGAGGCCTCCACCTGAGGGATGGGTACAGGTTCAGTCTGATGGCTCTGTCCTCTTCCCTCAGGATCTGCAGCTGCTGGAGGTCTTCTTCGAGATAGCCTGGGTAGATGTTGTACTGCATTCGCCTGCAACTTGGGTAAAAGTTCAATAACTGCTGCTGAGCTCAAAGGAGCAATTGTTGGTTTGCAGCTGGCTTAGGAGAAAGGCTATCGAAAAGTGCAGCTTAAGATGGACTCCAGCACTGCTATTGCTATCATTAGAGACCGTTCTGATGATGATCATCGACATGGACTAGTGGCAAAAACAAGTTAACCATCTCTTTGGAACGTGATTGGGACGTCGCTGTCTCAAATTTAGGAAATCGGACTGCTGATTTTCTTGCTAATTTAGGCCATAGCCTGACTTTTGGGACACATCATGTTGATGTGTGTAACCAAGGTTGTCAAACCGGTTTGTGCCAGTGTGCCGATTTAGCAAGTGGAATGGTTCTACCGGTGGTACATATTAGTTTGTGCCGGTTAATGCCGGTTAATATTACAAATAATTTACAAATACTCATATTTAAACATGACATTTAACGTCAATACCTAAATATTTGTACTTGAATCCAACAAATAACATCAACATTTAACTTTTTAACAATAATAATTTACTTTTTATCAATTAAATTCACTAAGATAAAATCATTTTACTTGAAGATTCGTATATCGATCATGCCGGTCATACCGGTGGTGTCATACCAGTTTTATGACCGGTACAGGTTGAACCAGGTTCAACTAATGGCACGCCGGCCGGCGTGACAACAATGTGTGTAACATTGATCTTTGTAGATGGCTCGACTATGATGTAATGAGAATCTCCCAATCTCGGATTATTATGATCTAAGGCGCTCTTGCGTCTGTCTCCTTACCAAAAGAGACAAGGGTATTTGTATATTTAACTCATTTCCAAATCCAACCATTCGAATTGGAAGTGTAAATGGAATTGGCTACCCAAACAAACAGGCTGTAAGATGGGTTGCTTCCGGTTGCGTGGGCTTCTAATTATTCTGTTTCGATATGGACAATAACAACAGTCTCGAACAGAAATGGGCCAGGCCTAAAGCCCAACTAAGGAAGTCCGCCGAATTTGTTAATTTATCAAAGCCAAGATTTACTAATTTAGTACACACAAAATTGTAATTGTCGAAGAATGAAGGGACCTTCAAGCAAATAACAAAAAGAATCTCTCCATCCATCGGCATTCGACCACCGTCTCCCCGTTGCCTTGTATTGGCGCGGAGCCCATTCTCTCTCTCCTCGTCGTCCCTCCGGTGTTTCTTCTTCTCAATCCTCGTAATCAATGGCGTTTCCACAGCACCATTTTCAGCAACTGTACCAATCTTCAGCGCAACAACAACAACAGCAGCCGCAATCGAAAGACTTGAGGTATGAAAGCTGAATTTCGATCATTTCTCGCTCCTTCTAGAACCCTAAGACTTCTTCATTTCCCCCAAAATTTTAACGAGCTCAATCTCAATCTCATCAGCTCCTCCTTTGATTTTTTTTATCGTCTGCAGAAATTTATACGTGCTGGACGGCCAGGTCTCGCCGCCGGTGGGGTTTTACAACCCTCCCGATTTGCAAGACCAGTCTCACCACCCTCCCTATATTCCTCCTCCCTGTGAGTTCTCCTTTTGCAAAAATGCTTCTCATTTTTTTGTTAGTGCGTAAATTCGGGTGGCGATTTCGTTCAGGAACTTGGACTGAATTCAAATTTGATTAGCTTCCTTATTGATAGTCTTATTTGTTTCATTCAAGTCAATGGAATTGCTAATTTTAGGGTTAGCCTTACAATTTGCTTGTAAGGTATTGCCTGTCAATTTTGGGAAGTTGTATGACTCTTCTGAACTCCTGTAATGTCATTTCTTTCAGTTCATGTGGTAGGATTTGCTCCTGGACCTGTGAACGACAGCAATGATGGGGGAATTGGTTTACAGTGGAATTATGGGCTGGAACCAAGGAGGAAAAGATTGAAGGAGCAGGACTTTTTGGAGAATAATTCTCAGATTTCGTCATTTGACTTCCTGCAAGCTCGTTCGGTTTCAACAGGACTAGGGTTATCCCTCGATAACAATCGTGCTTCATCTTCTAGTGACTCCGTTTTGTTGTCGCTCATTGGTGATGACATCGATCTTGAGTTGCAGCGGCAGGATGCAGAGATTGATAGATTCCTCAAAATTCAGGTTTGGATTTGAAGTGCTTATAAGTCAGATTTGTTGAAACCGAGTAAAGGAGCCTCCCATAATTCTAGCTTGATTCAATGCCTAATGATTGTGGTGCTTAATATGCATGGAAGGGAAATAAGAATTTATCGCAAGTGAATTTATGGGCTGAGCGTTTTACTGTGTGGCTGGGGAAGTAGCTCCATTTATTGTGGATAGCCTGTCATGCTTTTTGTTTCCCTTTTCCTCGTTCTTAAGTCTTAACCCTTTTCCTGGCCTTCCAAAGATTATGATTTTCCTAAATATTGTTGGTTAGTTTTCGCCAAATTATTTAACATTGAATTTTATTCCCCACGACCAAAGCTTGCACACGGTGAAAAGTAGATTTCATAAGTAACTGGGCTCTGTGAATTGCGGCAACTTCCAACTTGGGAAATTGTCTTTTAACGGAGGATTTTGCATGGCTATCTAGGCTCTGTATGCTATGAGATGCAAGGAGCTGTATCGAAAGTTCCCTGATTGTTTGATGTTGTGCAGTTAGTTAAACCTTCATGGTTGTCAGTTACTGAATCTCTGTTTGTCAGTTTGCTTGTTAGTTTGGATTATTAGCGTTTGCTGATTTCCTTGTCCTCTTCTAGTCATGATTTTGGAATCTTGTGTTTGATGCTCAAGCTGGTGTTCTATCAACTAAACTTGCAATTAGAGAGTTGGGTTTTTTCCGCTTCATATCAATATTGACTTTGCTATGTATTTTTCTTTATGTAGAGTGATCGATTGAGGCAAAACATCCTAGACAAGGTCCAGGCAGACCAACTCCAGACCATGTCATTACTGGAAAACAAAATCGTCCAGAAACTCCGAGAAAAAGAGACCGAGATGGAAAGCATCAACAAGAAGAACTGGGAACTCGAGGACAGAATGGAGCAAGTATCCTCCGAAGCAGGGGCATGGGAGCATCGAGCAAGGTTGAACGAGAACCTGATCAATGCCCTGAAGTTGAATCTCCAGCAGGTCTATGCTCGGAGCAGGGATCAGAACAAGGAAGGATGCGGGGATAACGGCGTGGTGGACGACACGGCTTCCTGCTGTAACGATCGCGGTGGCGGGGGCGGCGGCATCGATTTCCAAATGCTGTTCAAGGAGAACAAGGACATGAAAGATCTGACGACGTGTAAGGTTTGCAGAGCGAACGAGGTGTGCATGCTTTTGTTGCCGTGTAAGCATCTGTGTTTGTGTAAAGAGTGTGAGAGTAAGCTTAGCTTTTGTCCTCTGTGTCAGTCGTCCAAGTTTCTTGGGATGGAAGTTTATATGTAACGGAAAGGACTTTGGGGATGATGATCTTTATTAACGGCTTAATTCCTCTACGTATGTTACTGTAGAATTTGTTGTGCATATGTTTGTGGGTGTTGTCCAAAATCAGAAACATGGCTTACTACCCACCGCTGTGGCCCATACAGCTAGGCCCGGGCCATTCCGGAATTGGGCCATGCAAGTGATGATCTAGCATCCACTGACCTTGTTGTTTAAGCCCGATTTTGTTCTTTGCAATAATGGGGTTGTTCAAGATGCAAGAATTATTACGATTTTGTTTGAGATTAGACATCTACTTCGATTTCAAGATAGTTCCAGGTCCGATTTGTAAGACGTGATCGAAATAGGGCAGTTCACTTGGTAGCTCGTCATGTCCTATTAGTGTCGTCTCACTTGTTCTCGAGGTTCAACTTTACTTGTTGGCTATGTTCTCGATATCTTTGTACTCTTTGTTCTTTTTAATTGAGTGACTTAATGGCAAAAAAAAAGCCCGATTTTGTTCTAACTTGAACCATATCACGATTAGGCGTTTGTCGTCTATCCTTCTCATGTAAGTGAACTGTGAAGTTTGTTTTGTGGCTGCTTCTTGTTTCGTTCAATCACCCACTCGTTACAATTATTATATCATACAGTGACGTGAAATTGGGTACAATTGTAGTTGACCACTAAGTATTTGGCATGCGATTCCAGTCATAATGGACATATTCCTCCTAACTCGAGTTCAAATCAACTTGAATCGAAAAGAAAAAAAAAAACATAACCATCCCCAAAGATGAAGATGAGCTTGAAGAACTATATAGCTTGCTCAAGCAATGTCATAAACCAACTGGTTCTGATAACTCGAGTTGTTGGAAGATGTTCATGTATAATACTTAACCACTTTCCCTTACACATTTTTTAAACGAAAGCCAACTCATGTGCTTGAAGTTTGCACAAGCTAGACTCTCCATACCATGTGCTTTAAGAATTAGGACAATGGTTAGTATTGATGGTCGTGAGAATTTGAACACTTGACATCAAAGACAAATCAGCCCTGATACATTGTCATAATTTTTTTTTTAAATAATAAAAAAAATTATGACAATGTATCAGGGCTGATCAATTGGTCCCAATAACTTCAATTTTTTAGAGAGATTTTATTACCAGCAAATGATACAAAGATTAATTATTCATGATTGGATCAAAGGGGTATGGGCAAGGTGGAGTTATGTGGACTCAGTTATAGTTTAATTAATAACTGTGAAGGTAGGGGCAAGTGTATATATAGGGAAGAAAAATAGTGTAGACTGTAGAGAGAAGCCTTGGGAAGCAAGTCGTTTTTGTCTTGGTGTAAATTGGTCGTATGTGGGATGGGTATCAAATCAAATCACAAAGCTAAAACTTAGCAAAATTAACACCACTTTTGGTGGAAAAGAAGAGAGTGAGAAGGCATGTTTGGATTGGAAGAAGAGAAGGATTTGTCTTTCTTTTTTTTTTTTTAATAAAAAACTTTGATTCTAATCATGCTATGGAAAGTGGTGACAAAGAGGAAAGTGAATATGCTTCCTTCATCATTGATACTACTACTAGCTAGTTCTGCATTTTGCTTTGAACCCTCATTGGCTTGTGCTCTCATGAGCAAATAACATGCATTAGAGAACTATTAATATGATGGGAGAGATCTATAGAGACTATGGCATTAATGTTGTTGTTGACATGAATGAATGATTATTCCCTCCACTTCCACTTCCACTTCCACCGCCAAAAGACAGACGAAGATTAAAGGGAAAAGCTTCCTCTAATTACCCAGCCGATCTCTGTCTTGTCACTGCCCCCCATCGAGCAATTCACCCTTTCCTTTCCCTTCTTTTACTTACTTAATCAATCACCGATATGCACCCATTTGACTGTTAGCCTGATCCAGTCCTTAACCTAACCTGCATGGTTAATTGCACAAATGCTCTTATGTTTTTTTTTTATCCAAGATAAGTCCAAGGGGATTGTCGGAAAAAAACTACAAGACTAGCAATAATCAAGAACGGTAGTGCTAATTAACCATGAAAGAGACTGTTTTGTCATTGGGATGGTAACTCTGTTAAAATTTCGAGGAGCAAAAATATATGAAACTGACAAAAATGGCGAGAAGAGAAAGTGAACTTCCTCTAGATTGGCTCCCGCTCTGAAATGGAAAGATTTTGTGAGTAAGACACCCATCTGGTAATTCTGAAATATAAGCATTGGTATTATGTTGTTATCAGAGATGTAGGAGGAGTGCTTGATGGTGGGATACTGGGATGGGCTTCGACTTGGTATTCATGGCTTTTTACCGTCGTTCCCTAATGGCACAAGTATGGTGAACTCGCCTCGTCACGACCATATCTTTGCTCGAAGTAGTGACAGTACGCAAGCAGCTGGACAAAGAAATATAGATCTAAGGCTAGCTGCTCAAAATTCAACGTATAATTGAACCTGCAATGAAAATGAACATCTTTGTTGAAATTTCAATCTTTTTTCTTTCCTTTTCTAGTGAATGGAGTTCAGTCACATTCATTTGTCCTCCTCATGCACTTATGCCCTATAAAGCTGATTTCCCCCCTCAACCTTACTTTCATTTTCTCACTTCTTTTCTTCAGTTCCTTTGTTCTTGTGGGGTATCAGAAGCACAATATCTATCTATCTATGACTGTTGTGTTGGCCTGGGCTTACCTCCACTTGGTACCTTTGTATCTCTTTTGCCTTCTTTATTCATTAGGACCTTGTTTGTTTGTACATCCTTTTTTTAACCTTCTTCCAACCCCTCTTTTTCTATCCATAGCAATAGCCCTAGCTGCCTGTCAAAAGCTGCATTTTCTTTTGAATTTTCTCAAAGTCCTTTTGAAGAAACAAACCTATATTTCTATCTCTCTCTCTTGTCTTCCTCAAATCCTATGGAGAGGGAATATTTGCAGTAATGCGCACACACGGCGGCCTCTTGGGTCTCTGTCATTTTTCAAACACCATGCAAAAAATACATATTGTACAACTTTATATATAATTTTGTATTTATAATGTGTTGAAGTTTGTACTGAAACTACTAGTTGTTTAACAAAGTGGAACTATTAATATAGAAAGATAAAGAGTGCTAAACAAATATAAGATCAACTATCGACATAGTCTATTTTCTTCTGTCCTGGCCTGAGAAATTATTCGGTTTGAAAATATGATTGTTTCTCACCCCATAAACTTATCTTACAATGACATAAAGAAGGGGGGAAAAATCGGAACTAGAAGTTAGGTATGTTTCTTGAGGCAAATACTTGAAATATACTTTAAATCAAATTTGAGAATGTCGAGTTAGATTTCGAGATGATTGTAGTCCACATAGAGATCAATGCTCAAACCCTTATTTTCCCCTTAGGCTCAAGACTTATATGGACAACAAACCCTTCTCTCTTGTTATTGGATTCACCTAGTTTTTTTGGGCAAGCATAATTTATGCATTGCTACTTGTTTATAGCTTATATACATACGCATCATTGATTAAAAGAAAGTTGAACCTCTCCTAATCCTTCTTATGGAGCAATTCATTCTATGAAAAAGATTGAATTCCTTCAAGAGGAATTTGAACACAAATGGTTATTGTACATTTTTTCCTCTCTTTTTCTTCAACATTTCTCTCACATGTAATCTGGTTGTTGCAAGATAAATATGGACTCTACCCCTATGTTTTCCTTTTTTACATGTTTACTTCATTTTATCTAACGAAATTTGTTCGATCAAATGAAAGTGAATGATAAAGGTAGATTAGGATCCACCTTCGAAGTATGCAAATTTTAGCAGAAAAAAATTGTCTTATTTATCTCTCTTTAAAAAAAAAGAGATAAACTCATTTCCAAGTTAGATTCCTTAACATGAGTATTGGAGAAAAGGACCATCCATACATCTCCACTAACATGGATGTATTCATCAGCTAATAATAATAAAACCAATCCGTTAATGGATGCTTGGTTTCACTTTAGGCAACAGTGGTCCTAGCTGATCTATAGCAAACCCCAAAGACAAAGAAGAGTTAAAGAGGGAGAAAAGAAAACACAACAAAGGTCCTAGAAGGATAACATTTTCATCTCAATATTTCTCCTCTTATTCCCTGTAGTAGCTAGAATCTAAGGAACTACTAGGAAATCAATATTGTTGTAGGTCCATTCGGCGGGAGCCTTGCGGTGGAAGGAAAACAATGATAGGTACGTACCTGAGAGGCTGAGACCTTCAGATTCAAGACCACTAATGTTATCACTAGACCAATTTTTGTTCCCACAATGATGGGTTAATCTTTATAAAAGACTTGGCTTGTGGTGTGTTCTTCCTTTTATCAGCTTGGTTGTGGATGGATAATAATTATTGGCAAGTGAAAGAAGTAGTGAAGGAGCGGATCAAGCTAGTGAGTGAGAGATGGGCCATAATAGAGAAGATGATCATATCCATCCCCAGTTTGTGCGCTGGTTGAGTGATCTACAACAGAGATCTTGTTCATCACAAGCTTCTTTTTTTTTTTTTTTTTTTTGCTTGTTTGACATGATTGCCCATCCAAAAATAAAGGGTTTCCCCCTCTCCCTCTTAGTGGGTTGTTACTTGGCAATAATGTCTTTATGATTATTGTTTCATACCCACATATTTTCTTACAATATTACTGTGAAAGATGAAGGAAAGCGACTAACGTACGTGTTTGTAGATGTAATTTGAATGTATCAAGATTGTAATACGTACCAAAAGATGAAAAAAGATGCTATCGGATTTGCAGTCCTAGTGATACGAAGGTATATAAAATTTTGTTGTAATGTCTTCTAAGTTTCTATAGCTTTCTCTAAGAACCTTATTTAATTTACTCACTCCTCCAGTAGTTAGTAGTTACTGTAAACTTTTTTCTATTAATTGGTCATCCAAGATAGAGATGCATGATAATGTATGATCTGGAGATGAATGATTTGGTATCAACAACTTGACGTTGATGATCAATCCTAATGATTTGCTTACAGTAACTAACTACCTGCATTGCCCCCGTAAACGAGATTATAAGTGCAAAAAAGGAATGATTCATTAGCATTGACAACAGCGTTCATTGATAATTAGGAGTGTACAAAGATTTGGTTTTTATCGGACCATAGCGAACCAAACAACATGCTTGGATCGGGTCATATTGAAAAATATATATATATATATTGTGGTCCTGTTCGTGGTCATGTGAATTCTATAAGTATTGAAAAATGGACAAAATTGTCATTTAAACCGGACCAAATACAATAATGGTCCGGTCCTTGGTCCTACGATGTGTTTCACTATTGAACCACAATTCTCGTTAATTTGATCTGGTCAAAAAAATCTCTCAAAAC